CAACATGGTCTACAGATGCTGGGCAGGTCTGCTGGGGAAAGATGGTTTCCATGGAGAAGGGAAAGATGCTTTCTGCAGACTGAGGGGAGAGGACAAACTTTTCAGGTAGGCGTTGGGCCTGTAGCCAATAATCTGACTAGAAGGAGAATTTTAAAAGGGGAGTCTATTCTTCAGTTTTCTCCACTTCTAGAAGGTCTTCACTATGAGCCTTGGGCAAGTGGGCTCCCTGGAACCGGGGAGAGGAATGTGTAGTTCTGACTTTAGGAAAGCCAAAATTGGGAGGGGGGTCTTGAGCCACCTCTTAGCAGTCAAAATGGGGATACTCTCAGGCAACAGGCTGGGCTCAGGAAATTACCTGCTCTCTTCCTTCTTGTTATGTGTAAAAGTTTTCTTTTTGGTAAAGCAAAGAAAAAAATAGTATTGGGGCAAAGGATCTCTCAGCAAAGCGATTCTTTTTCCTTCCTGTGGAAAGGGTAACCCCGTTAGCAATCCTGCCATGAGAGTACAACAAACAAAGGAAAGCAGACATATTTATTCCTTATGCGTATGAGGTTGTCCTGACTGCTGTGTCTGATCTCCGCTGGCTGGAGCCAGACCTCGCAATCTAAACTAAAACCCAATTGGCTAATAACTTGAAACGTTTCTAAACAGGTAAAAGCAGTGGACAGTAAAAAAAAGGAAGTCCAAACAAAGAAGGGACATAGGCTGCGAGCTGGGACATAGGCTGAGTGCCTGTGAGCACGTCCAGCACAGATATCTTAGTTAAAGTACAAGGACACAGAATGTACTATGTGCCTGAAACTATGTCTAACAGATACATAGGACAGGGCTTAACAAAGAGCTGTTAGCAAAAATCAAGAAGGCTTTTGAAGAAAACGTTTAAAACAAACTATTATTTCTAACACTTAAAAATTTTTCTTAAACAAGAAAGGGGCCGGGTGCAGTGGCTCAAGCCTGTAATCCCAGCACTTTGGGAGGCCGACGCGGGTGGATCACGAGGTCAAGAGACTGAGACCATCCTGGTCAACATGGTGAAACCCCCTCTCTACTAAAAATACAAAAAATTGGCTGGGCATGGTGGCGTGTGCCTGTAATCCCAGCTACTCAGGAGGCCAAGGCAGGAGAACTGCCTGAACCCAGGAGGCAGAGGTTGCGGTGAGTCGTGATCGCGCCATTGCACTCCAGCCTGGGTAACAAGAGCGAAACTCCGTCTCAAAAAAAAAAAAAAAACACAAGAAAGGAAACTTTGAAGAGGAACTTTTCTACTTCCCATACTTCTTCCTGCAGGAGCCCCATGCGTACCCATTGTTTATCTCCAACTTGTAAGTGAGAACATGCAGTATTTGGTTTTCTGTTTCTGAGCTGGTTCACTTAGGATAGTGGCTCTTGTTGCCCAGGCTAGAGTGCAATGGTGTGATCTTGGCTCACCGCAACCTCTGCCTCCGGGTTCAAGCAACTCTCCTGCCTCAGCCTCCCGAGTAGCTCGGATTACAGGCATATGCCACCACGCCCGGCTAATTTTTTTTTTTTTTAGTAGAGACAGGGTTTCTCCATGTTGGTCAGGCTGGTCTTGAACTCCCTACCTCAGGTGATCCATCTGCCTCGGCCTCCCAAAGTGCTGGAATTACAGGCCTGAGCCATCGTGCCTGGCCTATTTTGTTTTGTTTTGAGATGGACTCTTGCAGTAACACAATCACGGCTCACTGCAACCTCCACCTCCTGGGTTCAGGCGATTCTCCTGCCTCAACCTGCCCATTAGCTGGGATTACAGGCATGCACCACCATGCCCAGCTAGTTTTTGTATTTTTTGGTAGCGACAGAGTTTCACCATGTTGGCCAAGCTGGTCTTGAACTCCTGGCCTCAAGTGATCCACCTGCCTCAGCCTCCCAAAATGCTGGGATTACAGGCGTGAGCCATTTATTTTTCTTTTTTTGAGACAGGGCCTCACTCTGTTACCCAGGCTGGAGTGGAGCAGCACAATTACAACTCACTGCAACCTTGAACTCCTGTGTTCAAGTGATCCTCCTGCCTCAGCCTCTCAAGTATCTGGGACCATAGGTGCATGCCAACATGGCCAGCTCATTTAAAAAAAATGCTTTAGAAGCAAGATGCAGCATTTTTCTTCCTTTACTTGCAGCAAGCAGCTAATAACCATTATCCTGTGCTGGACCATCCATGTTCTATGTGTTCTAATATGTGCTTTACATAAATTTTTTTTTTTTGAGACGGAGTTTTGCTCTTGTTACCCAGGCTGGAGTGCAATGGCGAGATCTCGGCTCACCGCAACCTCCGCCTCCTGGGTTCAGGCAATTCTCCTGCCTCAGCCTCCTGAATAACTGGGATTATAGGCATGCGCCACTGTGTCCAGCTAATTTTTGTATTTTTAGTAGAGATGGGGTTTCACCATGTTGACCAGGATGGTCTCGATCTCTTGACCTCGTGATCCACCCGCCTCGGCCTCCCAGAGTGCTGAGATTACAGGCGTGAGTCACTGCACCCGGCCCACTTTACATAAATCAGCCCAGGTGAACCTCACTGTGAGATTACAAGGTACGTATTCTTCTTCTTTTTTTTTTGAGGTGGGGGTCTCACTGAGTCACCAAGGCTTGAGTGCAGTGGCTCATGTCCGTAATCCCAGCACTTTGGGAGGCTGAGTTGGGAGGATACTTTGAGCCCAGGAGTTCGAGACTAGCCTAGGTAACATAGGGAGACCCCCCATCTCTAGAAAAAATAAAAATGGGGCTCCTTCCTTTTACCTTGTTGCCTTTCTGAGAGCAAGATGGGTCACCAGCAGCTGTACTGGAGCCACCCACAAAAATTCGGCCAGGGTTTTCGCTCTTGTTGAGTCCGTTCAAACCGTCACGGTTTGATCCGGAAATATGGTCTCAGTATGTGCCGCAAGTGTTTCCATCAGTAAGTGAAGGATACAGGTTTCATTAAGTTGGACTAAATGATCTTCAAAGGATTATCCAAGACATCTACCATGAAAAACCATGATAGTTCTTTGTACATAAACATTTTTTAAAACCCTTCAAAAAAAAAGAAAAAAGAAAAACATAACCATGCATGGTGCCATGTGCCTGTGGTCCCAGCTACTTGGGAGGCTGAGAAGGGAGGATCACTTGAGCCTGGGAGGTTGAGGGTACAGTGAGCCAGGATTGTGCTACTGCACTCCAGCCTGGGTGACAGAGTGGGACCCTGTCTCTAAAAAGAGAGAGAAAGAGAGAAAAAAGAGGGAGAGATTTTAAAATATGGCAAAATGTGCCCACAAGCTGATGGGCCTATTTCTGTTTCTTTGTTTGTTTGTTTTTTTTGAGACAGCGGGTCGTTCTGCTGCCCAGGCTGGAGTGCAGTGGTGCAATCTTGACTCACTACAGCTTCTGCCTCCTGGGTTCAAGTGATTCCCCTGCCTCAGCCTCCTGAGTAGCTGGGATTGCAGGTGCCTGCCACGACACCCTGCTAATTTTGTATTTTTAGTAGAGATAAGGTTTCACCATGTTGGCCAGGCTGGTCTCAAACTCCTGACAAGGTTTCACCATGTTGGCCAGGCTGGTCTCAAACTCCTGACCTGGTGATCCACCCACTTTGGCCTCCCAAAGTGCTGGGATTACAGGCATGAGCCACCATACCTGGCCTGTTTCTGTTTCTTACAGGGTTTAGGGTAGGAGACTTCAAGCAGGGGAAACAGAAGAAAAAAGGTTGAAGGGCCCAGCTGCTGTGTGTGTGGCAAGATAGGAAGTTGCTGACAGTCTGCAATGCCAGCAGCATGCATGGTTATCACCACGACAGAGGCCTCAAAACAGGCTCAGAGCAGCTGTGTGCTGGCACTCACAGCTACATGGAGATAGAGCCTGCCCCTGGGCCTTAGTGTGTGGCCTTCTTCCCAGGTGCTTCTTTGGGAAGCTGTGCAGTGAGGGAGGTAAGGCAGCCTGAGGGCAGGACATGGTAGCACAAGAGGATTGGCAGGCAGGAGCACTGATTGCCCAGGTATTGTAGTGTCAACCTACACAATATGACATCTCCCATCCTTTTGGATAGATCTTCTGTAGGGCGGCCTCTGCCTACCACAACTCCCCAATCTGCTTTCCCCTAAATGTTCCCTAGCACCTGCCATGAGTTTGTTCACAATTGGGACCCCAAATCAAGGGCGTCTCACTGGCTGACTCAGCTTAACACCTCGTTGATAAGTAGGTGGGCGGACACTTACCTGGAAAAAGTAATTTTCTCACTGATAGGACCACAAGCTGATGTCCTTTTAATGTGGGTACAAATACTGAACAAATATGAGCTTAGTGTCTTGCTAAAAGGAATTTAGATTTTTTTAACTTAAAAAAATACGTAAAATAAAGATGGGGTTTCACCACGTTGGTCAGGCTGTTCTTGAACTCCCGACCTCAGGTGATCCGCCTGCCTTGACCTCCAAAGTGCTTGGATTACAGGCGTGAGCCACCACACCCGACCAGAATTTAGATGTTTTTAACAGGCCATGATTAACTTCAAAAAGGGGCTGAACCTGGTGGGATGGTTTGGTGAGGCCCAGAGGCTCGGCTCCAGCTCATGTGGAGTACTGGACATCCCCTTCCAGCACAGGGGGTCTGACTTGTGTACAGTCAAGCCCAAAACTGGCACAGCCACAGGCCAGGGATGGAGGCTTTAGAGTCCACTAGAAAACAGGGAGGAGTCTAGCGTCTCAGTGGGTTTAGTAGTGAGGGCTCCTGTGAAGAACTCTTGGCTTAGGAGTGTTCATTATTGGTCCCTTCCTTAGTTATGTTCCAGGCCCTGAGTATGTACCTTGCATGCTCTGACCTTTTGAACACCAAAGAAATAAGCAAGGAGATAATAGATGCCCCAAAGAGATGAATGGTGCTGTGAGATCTGGGAGCTGGGGCCTGGTCCAGCCTATAAGCACCATTGATGAGCAGTGTCTTATTTAACCAGCAGCTGGAGATTTCCTGAGGTTTAAGTGGGAAAGCAGGTTCATATACTACAAGACACCAGATGCTTCATACTGCTTCTCTTTATTTCCAATTTTTTTTTTTTTTTACAACAGTCCACACAGGGATTACCTCCCACATGTACTTTCCAAGCCAGAATCCCCCTTTAGAAATTCAGATTCTATTTCTAACTCTATAGGATGCATCTCCCCAAAGATTCCATCAACTCCTCAAGTCAACATCTGTCCACCCCCAACTTCCCCTTTTTTCCCTCGCTCACACTGAACATTGGTCTCAAACTGTGGCTGTTGTGTTGCTTCAAGATGCACTTGAATCCTGGGCTTCAGTGTCCAAGTATGCAGAATGAAGCATTTGACATGTGCACCCAGCTAGGCAGGCATGAAACAGGGGCACAGGATGGGATCTGGGTCATAGAAGGTTCTGTCCCCACAGTGAGGACAGGGGGTGGCACTGAGCCAGACCATGCCAGGCCGCCCCAATTCGCATAGCAACTCCCTAAGCCTGGTGTGCAGATAGGCAAGTCTCCCCAGGTCGAGGGTGCCATTGATGTCCTCAAAGCTCTCCACGGGGACAGGATACAGCACGTGGCTCAGATTATTCAACCCGATGATGTGGTGCACGAGGCTCTCCAGGACAGATATGGAGATGGGATTCCCGCAGAAGCTGAAGGTGGTAAGCTGGGAGCAGTGGCTCAGGGAAGGCAGAAGAACAAGGAGCTGAGTATCCACGATTCCACACTCATCTAAGTCCAGGTCCTGGAGGGTGGCGGAGGTTCTCTCTAGCAGAGCTTGGAGGAGCTCGGGATTTATCTCGGTCAGCATGACCCCACTTAGACTCAGGACACTCAGCTGACTGATGTTGGGGCTCTGGGACAGATGTGTCACATCTTCTTCTGAAAGCCAGCAGTTAGTTATTGAGAGAGTTTCCAAGGGGTTCATCATGCATCTGCAAATAGACAAAGCAGTTAGTGCAGGGGAATGGAGGCAGCGGGGTGGGGAGACTGGAGAGGCCCATTTCACCAAAACCCAGTCTTCCTGATGATGGTTAACCCCCAGGATGCCATGTTGTAAAGGAGCATTCAAGTGAGTACAAGTTCAGGTGCAGCCCTTTCTCCATTATTTGCTGCTTAAGTGGGTAAAGTAAACAAAAATCTCAAACGCTCCCTTGGCTAACCTGTGAGGCGCAGGGTCCATTCAACACAGACCTCTTAGGTGCTGTGAGCATAAACTGAATTGAGAAAGAATGCCTGATCTGATGTCTCAAGCAAGAAAGACCACCAGTGAATTTTAGTATTTGAAGACAACCAAAAATTCTTTCAACTCGGGCTGCTTCTGGGCACTGCATGGGCCCCAGTCACCTGTATCTGTGCCTGATGAAGCTACTGGGGAGTATTCAGAGGACAAACCTGGGCAAGGTCAGCAACATCCAAAGGGGGTTACCAGGCCGCAGGGCTACCTTAGATCACTGTATCTGCCTATTAATTTGTGCAATTCTTCACTCTTGTTCCTTCTCCCACATCTTCAGAATCCTGCATTTCCCACATATTACCTTAAGTGGAGTTCTAAATCACCCTTTATAGACAAGAAATTTGAGGCAGGTTTAGAGGCAGCAGCTCATGTTGAGAAGCTGGTGAGCACACAGCTTACAACGTCAAACCTTACCTTTCAAGGGCTTTCCCTTCTTCAATGCCCTTCTTGCTTATTTCTGGTCATCTTAGGCATCGCTTCCTAAGGAAGAATGCCTAAAGGCACTCTTGCCAGGCGCCAACCTCCCATTACAGAGTTTTCTAACACGGAGTCACTGTTAATGGCATCCATCCTAATGTATACCTCTAACCTTTATGAGTAGTAGTTATGTGATACCATGCTTGGGAACAGAGTGGTGAACAAGATGTGTTAACTTGTAGTGAGTTGCCCACTCCTGCATTATTGGTAGCTGGCACATAGAAAATGTCCTTTATTGTTTACTGCAATAAAGAAGGGCTTGCTCTGTCCTGTAGAGAGACCTCACCATACCTCACCTGAGCAACTGATCCAGGTGGCCTCTGAGGAAAAATAAAGAGTCCACGTAGAGCTCCTCGAGGCAGTGGAGATTGAGGAACTGAGAGATGAACTGGGCAATAAACTGCTCCTCCTTCTCCGGGGAAATGAAGGAAGCCGGATGGATGTGGGCGAGGAGCAGTCTACGCAGATTACTCATCTGGCTCAGGTGAGGAGAAAATTTCGCCAAGGTGGGTAGTTTCCAGGTGCAAGTCACTTCCAAATCTTCAATAGAGTCCAGCTGCACCATTTTCAGGATCATCTTGATATTCTGCACAGGCATTGCAAAAATCTTCAGCTTCTTACAGCACAGGTGTAATACGTCTTTCTTTCTCCTCACTATCTCAATCAGGTGGATGAACAATTCATCATAGGCACCTTCCTTGAGGGACAGGTCTACGAGAACCTCTATTGGAATAAAGCGCTGCTCTGCCTCTGTGCTCGAACCATCTACTTTTCGCTTCTTTCTCATGGGCTGAGCTGCTTCTGGCTCTGGAAATGAGCACAGACTGACCCTTTTTCCAGACCACACGGTCCAGAAGTCTTGATGAGAATTCTTTCGTAAATCCAGCACTTTGAGTTTCCACCTCCTGGGGGAAAACAGGTAATTAGCTGAGATGCTTTAAGATCAACTCAGAATAAGCCTATGAGTCTCATAATGTAGCTAAGAACCAAATAGACATCCACCTTAGATCTGCAGTTTTACTCTATACTCCAGGCTTCAGATGCTCCCTTTCCCACGAGGATCCTGAAATCCTTCCTGGTCCCCACTTCCCGCCCCACCAGGAAGAAGCAGGTGCATGTTCCTTCAGATACCTCTGCATTTTAATCAGTGCCCAATGTCCAGAAGCCCATTCCAAGAGTGACCCCTGCAGTGGCCCCAACGCCTTCCTGAGCTTCCTTGCTGGCACCATTGGAGCCTCTGGCCCAGTCTGAGATCCCCTACACTCTGTGACCCCAGCTGCATCCTGCTCAGGTTCTCAGGGCCCTACAGCAAGCTGCTGGATCACACTTACCTGGGGCGAACCTCCTGCGCAAGCAGCACATCAACTCCATCAAGCACAGCTTTGAAGGTCTCCACGTGAAGCTGCTGTCCCTTCATCAGCACTCCCAGAGGGAGGCAGGTGAAGGGCCAGGCCTGCACCATGGCCTTCAGGGTCTTGTTGTGTCTCCCATCAAAGGCTGCCGTGAAGAGCGGCGGGAAGAGCTCCCTGGGGAGCAACTCCAGGGCAGCGATGGCCAGGGACTCATTCTTCAGCAGGCTCTGCCCCGCCAGGTCCACCAGTCTCCGTGGGCTCGTCCACATGCTCATGCTGATGAATCGGCTCTGAATGTAAGTCTGAGAAAACATGCGGGGAACAAGGCATCCCTCTCAGGCCAAGCGCAAGCGACTCTATCTTTTCCTTACCCTTCTGAGGAACCAACTTAGGGCCAAAGTCACTGTGCTAGCAACAGCAGAGGAGTTTTCAGTTTACCCTGATTGCATTCTGCAGTCGTTGGCCACAAAGGCATAGCTCTGCTGGCACCAGGATGAGCATCTCATCAAGCGTAGAGGAGGGAACAGGATGACCACTGGCCCTATCCTGTATCTACCCACTACTCTATTTAATTCTAGTTCCCCTGGGAAGTGAGAACAAAGGAGCCTGAGAGCTGACCCTGCTCATTTTGAAAAAAAGTTTCTGATGATCACTCAAAGACAATTCAAACTGGACTGTCACATAGCCCAGGACAGCCTCCTTCTCTGGTCCAACAAATAAGCCAGATGGGAGAGATTAGGAACACAGGCACAATGCACAATGGGTGTCATTATATTTCATGAAAAAAATTTAAATGAGAAAACTACAGAAGCAACCCAACAGTATTACACAGCATTTGGAAGTAAAATTAAACACATTCTGAGACATGCATTTTAAGTGCGTCTCTTTTATGTATATTAGAGTTACTACTTTGACATGGAAATCAGGGGAGCAAACACTTTACAGTAAAATGGAGTCTGTTTCCTTTTCCCTAAATCCTTACTTTTTAAAAATTGAGTGGATACCTTAGCTAATCAACATATGTATTATCTCACATACTTGGGGTGAGAACACTTAAAATGTACTCTTAGTGATTTCATGTATTCAATACGTTGTTAACTACGGTCACCATTTTTATACTAGGTCTTGAAAACGCCTACTCTCTCCAGCACAGTGGCTCGTGTCTACAATCCCATCACTTTGGGAGGACGGAGGTGGGAGGATGGCTTGAGCCCGGGAGTTCAAGACCAGCAACACAATGAAACCTTATCTCTACTAAAAAATAAGAAAATGTCTTTAATTCCAAAGCATCTGAAAAAAATAAATCTATGGAATATTTTTAAGCTTTTAGTTAAAAAAAGGCTAATTAGCAAATCACAAATCATTTAAAAAAATCATCAATGATGCAAATTATCATTGCTTGCCACACACTATTTAAGGGTAATAAAGTAAAATTCCAACTAATTAGATGTCTTTTATTTTCAAAAAAAAGGTGTTTAAGAAATTAGTTTAAACATATACAAAATGGCAGAAATCAAAATGTTTGGGATTCAATACAAAGAAATAATAAATGTTCGAGGTAATGGCTATGATTAATTACCGTAATTTGATCATTACCCACTATACGCATAAACTAAAATTTCACATGTACTCCATAAATATGTACAATTATGTATCAATTAAGAAATCAATCCAATAATAAAATAAAAATGTTTGGGATTAAGGCAGAACTACATTTAGAGGCAAGAGCAAAGCCTGTTCCTTTGTAAGGAAAGAAAAATGAAAACTGTCTAAGAAGCATCGGCCCTCATGGCCGGTGCAGACCCTGGGCTGACAGTGGAAAGGAGGCAGTGGCCACAGCCTGATGACTCCCCAGACCCAGGTGTGGTGCAGAAGCCATCTACTCAGACCTCTGGGAGGACCACAACTTTTGACTCCAAGGCCTCTGGGTCCCTCCTCTGGCCCCTCAGAAGCTATTATAGGCTTTTCTGGGCATACCTCTCCTTTCAACTCCATGCTGCCAATGGGAGAGCCAAATCTGATTACATTCCTGGATCTCCAGCCAGTGAATCCTGATGGGTTTATTTTTATTTTTTACTTACTTCAGGTTCAATGGATTGCATGGGATGTATATCTATTTACAAAAGGGAAATAAAAAGTCAACAAAACCACCCAGAAAGTATAATTGTTGGGGGAATTTTTGGCCACATCAAAATTACCCAAATATTCCAGTTAAGAGACCTTTATGAAGAGCGTCATGTCATTCCCCCTCCCTACTCCCAAAAAATACTCAAGTATCAAATTGTCACTTAGACTCTATGTTCCCTAACACAGCAAATCACGTGCCTACTCAGGGAGAAACAGAGGTACAACAGAGGGATGGCTGGGCTTCCAGACTTTGAAGGTGAAGCTGTCCTGAAGGAAGCTGGGTCAAAATTACACTACAACTGGGAGTGAGAAGTAAGGGTGGGGCTGGGCATTTGTCATAGGACTGAGTGGATCACTGCCAAGTCAGATATGTTTTGTTTGGGGAACTGAAAAACTTTGGCCTGGATGGAGAAATTAAAAAGGGGAATGGCTAAGGAAGATATGCTCAGTAAAGCCAAGGTAATCACTGAGCCGGGGGTCGGGGTGGGGGGGAGTGGGGGGTCGGTCTTGGTCTTCCTCCCTCCCTACGGGGAAAGCATGCTTTCTTCCAGAAAGTCAGGATCCTCTTGGCAAACAGTCTTGACCAGATTAAATTTAGGAATGTGGGCTGGAGAGGTGGGACAGAGGGTCATATTGGTGACCAAACCTAGGATGGCCATGTTTTCAAGTCTGAAAGCCACTGTGGTTTCTTAGGAATTTTGGAGCCAGGGAGAGAAATAAACAAGAGCCCAAAGCACACATCCCTGCCATGAAGTTATCAGAAGACATTCTCTTTATGATTAGGTGTCATCTTCCACACTGGGCTGTTCACAGGCAGCAGGGCAGGCCTTTACCCAAAACATAATCTCCAATGGCCGGTCCCTTCCTATTACTAATGTTCCCATACTTCAAGAAAACAGCTGATTCAAATACAGCCTCAAAAAGCCTCTTCTTGCCCCTAAGTTTCTCTGGTATAGAGAGTCTCATCAGTGAGATACTATTAGGCATATCAAATATACTCAATTTTTTCTCTTTCCATGCTAGGCACAGTGCACAAAAATCAACACATTTTCTCTCACAAAAACTGAAGTTATATTTGGCATTTAGGGATCTGCTTAGGGATGATCCCTATCCTGGGCCTGATCACATATTGGCGCTTTTGAGGTTTCAGAACGTCTCACCCCAAGAATTCTCCAGGCCATTCTCTGCCTCATGCACTGTGATATCCCCACAATTCTCATATTCTACTGGCAAGTGTCTAGCTAGGGATATGTTGGGGGGCCTGGCTTTGTTTGCCCTGGCTTGGGTGAGAAGGCTGGAATTCATTGAAGGGTGCTTTCCATTTTGGTTAACTCTCTGGAGACTACTTTCTCCAAATTTTTACCATCAACACCAAATGGCCTTTGTGAAAATGGGGTTAAACTACAATGTGCTCTACATTGTCTTTAATTCCCAGGCAGTCATCTTTACTCTTCAGCTGCAGGAGACTCAGATTAGTAACAAAAGTCATTGTCAATGTCCCTAACCATTAAGCACCTTCTGGGCACAGCAAAGGTGGCAGCAGTTCTCATTACCTCAAGTAGCCTTCACAGAAAATCTAACGTTCATTGTCATTTTCATGTGTAGTCTTTTAAGTCCTTGACTCTGTGTGGGGAACAACTTGCTCAACTCCAGGCAGGCAGGAACTGGTACCCCTTATGCGAGGAGGGGTTTACAAAGATCATTTCCCTCCCTAACAGACAAACAATCTCAGCGTTAACAAAGAGCTGACTGATTGCAGGGCATGGTGGCTCATGCCCGTAATCCCAGCACTTTGGGAGGCCAAGGTGGGTGGATCACCTGAGGTCAGGAGTTCAAGAGCAGCCTGACCAACAAAGAGAAACCCTATGTCTAGCCAGGCGTGGTGGCGCATGCTTATATTCCCAACTACTCGGGAGGCTGAGGTAGAAGAATCACTTGAACCCAGGAGATAGAGGTTGTGGTGACCCGAGACTGTGCCACTACACTCCAGCCTGGGCAACAAGAGCGAAACTCTGTCTCAAAAAAACGAAAAAACAACAGCTGACTAGTAAGTTTCACATAAACCATGGGAAAATAGAAAATCTGCACAAGTCCAAAAGTTAGGGAAGTTTCTATGGAACTCCAGCTTCCAGGAGATCCAAGGAAGGAGGAACTGCAATGAAGTCTGAGCTGTGCAATCTCCCTGAGGCAGGAGACACTCCTCTGTCCAGCTTCACACTGTCTGCTTGTCCAGTGCTAACGGAGAAAGCAGCACCTGAGCACAATTGCACAAAGGTGCTGTCCTTCCTCCCAGTGTCAGGGAAGAGTGAAGAGACTGGGGCCCAGCATGACTCCTAGGGTCCAGGCATGAACTGGGGAAACATTTCTGCATGTTCTGTTCTTATGGTCCTTGCGGCTGCACAGGCCAGAGTGGCCTCTGAGTTCATCACAGGGGTGGCCCTCTTCTCTAGTCACAGAATCCCAATGGGGACCATGAAAGTATCTGCCCTGGGTCCTTCAGGTCTTTCAAATGTTTCTGTGCATCTGATTTGCCTCTCCTGGCCTGTGCTGCCCCAGTGGTCCTCTCCTTCTGCATCCTGGAATGTCAGACTACTTCTCCTGGACTCTGGGATGTGACTGAAATGCTGGAAGATACCCATCCACTGGCATTTACAGAAATCAAAGGATTCTCCCTAATTCCACTGAGCTATTTTGGAGAACACGACAAGCCACAAGGTGTTGGGGATAAAAAAGCCCAGCTGTTTTTCTGCATCCAGAGGCACTGCGAATGCAGGAAGATGCTCCCCCTTCTGGGTGCCACAGGAAGATCCTGACTCCTCTGGTCTGCTGAGGGCTGGAACCCAGTTCCCATGCCAGCAACTCTCCCTTTGAGGTTATTTTCCCAGCCCTTGAACAGAGAAGATTCTAATGGAATCCAGGAAGTCTTTGATCTCCAGTCAGGTCTCTCATTAGCCTGACATATTTTGCCCTAGATGCCTTTTTAAGAATTTTACATCTCTGTTGACCCTTTCTGCCCCCTCCAGTACTCAATGGGGTTTGGTTTCCCTTCAGATGAAAAAATCTCTAGACTAAACATGACAAGGTCACCTTGGGTACAGCCAGTTAATCCCATGGGATGTGTTTCTCAAGGCACAGTGTGGAGGGTAAGAGTCTGCTGTCATTCCAGGCTCAGGGGAGGAGAACAGTGATGCTGGACAGGGAATGGTCCAGAGCTGCTGATGTGGAGCCAAGATAAAGGGAGGAGAGCAGAGCAGAAGGCCAGGACTCCTGGCTCTCAGACAGCTGTGTCCCTTAAAAGCTGATAACTTGTGAGTCAAGTGGGGACACTGTGGGCATAGTTTGGGGGATGGGAGTGTCCTGAGGGCCTGGTTTTGTTTGCCTTGATGTGGCTGAGGTGTCAATGGGATTGACTGTTGCACCACCCCATGGCACAATCAGACCAATGGAGAGTATGGGGGAAAGAGTGGACTATCAACCCAGAAGCAGAAATGAGAAAGAGGTTGAAAGGGAAGGAGAAGGACTCAGTCTTGGCCTCCGGGCCAGAGAGTGATGCTCTCTGGGACTTTTCCACTTCCTCCTCCTCACTCGACAGCCTCATCGGACTCTGCTTTTCAGGAAAGAGCCAGAGAGACTGCAATCTGGTACTGTGTCCTGGTCTCCAGCTAACCCTCAATCTCTAGGCCACAGGGGTGATAGTAGCTGAGTATAAGCAAGGTGCATCAGGCTGTCTGGCACTTTCCACTGGAACAACAAAGGGGAGAAACAATCCTCAGGGATCCCAAGGGCACTGGCCTCACAATGGACTGAAAAAAATCCTCTAGGTCCGTGTTGAGGGCTGGTAGGAAGCACTGGGGCAGGCTGGCCCTGTGGACATACTTAATGTTAAGTGTCTGGTACAGCTGATCCTCTCCCCTTGATTTACTAAAACCTCTTACTGAAACCTTGGGGTCTATCAACTGCTATTTGGGGTGACAAGGAGGAATACCTAGTCATTATCTTCCTCTCCGGGTGTCTCTGAGGCCTGGACCTTCTATTTCCTATTTTTAGACAGTCTTGCTCTGTAACCCAGGCTCTGGGTTATAATCTTGGCTCACTGCAACCTCCACCTCCCCAGTTCAAGTGATTCTCCTGCCTCAGCCTCCTGAGTAGCTGGGATTACAGGTGCCCGCCACCATGCCCGGCTAATTTTTCTATTTTTTTTTTTTTTTTTGAGACGGAGTTTCGCTCTTGTTACCCAGGCTGGAGTGCAATGGCGCAATCTCGGCTCACCGCAACCTCCGCCCCCTGGGTTCAGGCAATTCTCCTGCCTCAGCCTCCTGAGTAGCTGGGATTACAGGCACGCGCCACCATGCCCAGCTAATTTTTTGTAATTTTTAGTAGAGACGGGGTTTCACCATGTTGACCAGGATGGTCTCGATCTCTTGACCTCGTGATCCACCCGCCTCGGCCTCCCAAAGTGCTGGGATTACAGGCTTGAGCCACCGCGCCCGGCCTAATTTTTCTATTTTTAGTAGAGATGAGTTTCGCCACGTTGGCCAGGCTGGTCTTGAACTCCTGACCTCAAGCGATCTTCCCGCCTATTTGATTTTGCTGTGACCATTACATATGTTTTTTTCAAAGTACTAATAACTCTGTTAGTTATAAATGTACAAAGAAGTGAAAAAAATAGCAAAACTAGTTTGTTGAGCATACTGTGATATAAATATTAAGAATCAAAATGTTTTACTGCTTTGTAAAAAACTTATCAAGAGGTCGGGGCACAGTGGCTCACGCCTGTAATCCCAGCACTTTGGGAGGCTGACCCGTATAGATCACTTGAGGTCAGGAGTTCGAGACCAGCCTGGCCAACATGGTGAAACCCCGTCTCTGCTAAGAATGCAAACAATTAGCCAGGCATGGATGATGACATGGGAATGCACCACCATGCCCGGCTAATTGTTTGTATTTTTAGCAGAGACAGGGCTTCACCATGTTGTAGTCCCAGCTACTTATGAGGCCGAGGCAGGAGACTCGCTGGAACTTGGGAGGCAGAGGTTGCAGTGAGCCAAGACAGAGGGACTCTATCTCAAAAAAACCAACTTATCAAGAGTAGTATGAACAGTGCCTGCCCCCTTCTTCCAACATGAAGTACACAAGTGTTCTGTGTTTTGAACGGTGACACTGGGAAGCCTGGAGAAGCTTCCAGCACTTTCCCCTTTGTGCCTTCTCACGACACGTCTCTGAGAGTGCCTTCAGTGTGAAGACTTTTGCCGTGGTCCCTCTGGGACATCTTCATCCTTTCTGTCACATCCATTTTCTTCATTTACTCTGCTCTAGAGATGGAGAATACAAGCCTAAAGCTGAATAAGCTGGATTCTGTCTCACAACGATGGGGTAAAATAACTCCTCGTGTCTGGTAAAGCTTAAAAACTTACCAAAGCATTTTGCTTTCCTAAGCTCATTAATGCCTCACTCAAGATACACAGTCCAGCAGT